TAGAGCATCAACTCAGCTCTGAGTAATTAGCGGCCTTAAAAGATTTTGGCTTTTTGTTGGTATTAACTGGCTCAGTGTGGTATGTTTCCAAGGCACTTTGCCTATAAAATTGCTCACATCTGTTTTAAATTGTACTCTACATTTTGTTTCATAATCATCTTGGGAGATGTCTAAAATTTCGCTCCAATCTAGTTGAATTTTAATTGTTCAGGCTGAGAATACTTACAGCTGTCTTCTGTGCAACCTCTCCTTTAAATCCTTGCCCACTGAGGCTAATTGCAGCTTGACAGATCATATTTATCAGAATATTGACCATCCTCAAATATGGGTGCTTGTGAGCTAAAAAATAATGGCCAGTTAACTATTTTAATCCCCCAAACTGCCATTTTCTCTTAAGTGTTGGGTCCAAGTTAGCATGGCAAGAAGACAGAAGGCTGGAAACAAGAGAACATCCTTCTTCCTTATCCAGAATCTCCTCATCTTCTCTAATGAGCCTCAGCATGGCCAGATGTGCTTCCATTCTTCTGCTTTCTTTTCTAGCAGCACAATGAGTTTGATGGAGATGTAGGAAGGATCCACCTAAGGCAGGAGCACAAGCATGGTGCCTTCTCTTCATATCGCCAGACTAGACTTATCCACTTCCATGAATCCCCCAAAGATTGTGCAGCTTCAGCCAGCTCCTCCCTTCACACATTCTCTTGTATAGACACTAATGGAAAAAAAGACCAAAAATTTTCAGGTGAAATTCCACTTCTCTGTTGCTTTCAGTATCCTACTTACTCGCCAGAAACCCTACTGCAAATTATCTCAGCATATTAGTAGTTAGTGTTCCTGAAAAAGAAATTATTGCATTTATTATTGCATTTGTATCGTATACCTCTTGTACCTAGGATTTGTAATAACCTGATACTTTACTTAAAAGTCTAGAAGTTTTAAATTTAAAAAAATCATTTGGGGAAATAAAGGATTTGATAACAATATACAAATAATTGTTTGGCTGTTAAGCTGCTCCTTAATGTTAGGTGTACCAGCAATACATCTCAGCTTTTCCACAATCAGTGAATGAGAAAACAGTCTTTGTGTGACTCATACTTTGTATGACTCACTCCTAATTGAATTAAAATGGAGTGTTCCTGTCTCATAAACATCCTCCTGGGGTTTGGTATGGCAGCAGCACAAGCTCAGATAGCGCAGATGAGATGTTTGTTGCAATCCTTGATGCCCTTTAAAAGCTGGAAAATATCTGAGATGTTACTTCTCAAGTTGGGTGCCAGGAACAGCTATGAAGACTGCTGCTGTTGTACCTTCCACCTGTGCAGAATAGAACCCCTGACAGTGTTTGATCTCACTATAGTAATGGCAATCAGAGGCACCATGGCTCAGTGGTTTAATTCAGAGGTCTCCAAACTTGACAACTTTAAGACTTGTGGACTTCAACTCCCAGAATTCTCTAGCCAGCATAGCTAGTTGGAGAATTCTGGGAGTTGAAGTCCACAAGTCTTAAAGCTGCCAAGTTTAGAGACCTCTGGTTTAATTGACACTGGAGGTGGTCTCAGCTTTGGTGGTTTGAACCCAAGCAGTTGCATGGCAAAGTGAACTCTTGTCATCCAAGATCTTGTCCAAGTTAACAGTTTAAAAGCATGTTCTATGTAAGTAGATAGATAGGTACCACTTTGGTGAAGAGACGAGCTGGTGCTCTGTGCAGATAGTCAGATTCCTGTTGGCTCTGAACCTTCCCAATTGTGGTGTCCAATTGCAGGGCAGCTCTGAGAATGGAGGGTCCCTGGGTGAAGCTGCAGGAAGAGCTGTTCGTATTTCTCTTTGACAATTTGCCCACCTGTTGCACACCTAGTAGAGCACGCAAACGTTTCCTATAACAGGGATGGTACCTTGGCATGTCAAACTACTACTGTGCAATGGGATTATGGTCTCCTGGCTACTGTAACAATGCCATACAACAACAACAACAACAACAACAACAACAACAACAACAACAACAACAACTACAGTGGCAATGGGGTTCCACAGATTTATGCTGTTATATTTTAACCAGCCTCCCCTGGTGTTGAGCTATGAAGCATCGTGGAAATTCGTCCCCATCATAACTAAGGGTTTGTCCCATGTCATCATGGCCTCAATGTATATGAGTAGTCGTTTCAGAACAGATGGCACGTGATTGGAGGATGATGGAAATTAACACCTGCCTTTTATCATAGGCAGATGTTTGTTGACTCCTGTTGGGATGAATAGGACTACGGATCTCTACAGGAAGGATGGACTTATTTGACTGCTGATGGGAATAGAAGCCTGTTGGAGTGGCATATAAGTGTCAGTAACGAAAGGAATAAAACAAATGCATTTAAATAGGATATATAGAAATATTCCATGGTTCAATTTTCCTGTATTTTCAAAGATAAAAAATGGAGACCCTTAGGGAATAAAACAAAGGCTTTCTTTTGATTTTTTTCAGGCTCTTTCTCTCCCCACCTCCTCCCCTTCCTATCCCAGGAGAGTAGTTTCTTCTGAGTGAACATAAATTGAATTTTGCTATGCCTATGCTTAGGATTGTAGTTTCAATTACATGTAACAAAAACATTGCAAAAGTGCAAATATGTTTTCATGCTACGATTGGCATTGGTTTCAAAATAAGTAGACTAGAAGATATCTGGGGCTGTTTTTAGCAGATAAGTGCTGCTTAGCCAGGCTTTGAAGTGATTTGAACTTGATAGAAATCAAACTGAGGATGACTGAAATTCATCTAAGCTTCCGGAAAAGGAAAACTATTTTGTTAAAGTTGATCTTTTGCCAGAGAGTCCATAGGAGATCCTGGCAACAGTGAATCTACTCGGGGGCTTGTATAATTGATATAGCCTTTCCCAGAGCATATTTTTTTTAACATGGGGAAGACTGTTCTCTGCAATTGTTTTTCCAGGGCTTTACGTAACATTGTTTGAGGTGCTTAATATTTGAGTTGCATAGCCTTGCAGTCATATTGTTCTTCTTAAGGGATGTCAGGTAATAGGGGCACTTGTCAAATCCTTATTTTTAATCTTCATTCAGGCAGTGAGACTTTGTCTCTGCCACCCCATGATCTATCCATACCACCCTGTCCTCTCCAAACAATCTGCATAAATTCTTCTTATGAGATCTAATGAAGTGAGTCTCAAAGTTTCAGTAAAATGTTCTTCTTTTTGCAATTTTTCTGAGGATAGGTGTTGTGGCCTGTCAGCCACCGGCTGGGTCAGCATCAAGGCAATCTTTGAGCCCCAAGGGGGAAGAGGGATGGAGCTGGCAGAGAGAGAGAGAGAGAGAGGCAGAGCCTGGGCCATCCATCAGCCCTCAGATGGAGAGTCAACAGCCCCCAGGACAAAACTTACTTAATGCAGCCTTGTTTAGCAACAGAAATTTTGGACTCAGTTGTGGTCACAAGTTGAAGGCTCATCTTCCTGGCATTATTCCCGTGCTATGGCAGGGTCCATTTGTTGGCAAAACCATCTCCACTTGGCTTGATCCAGGGCATCTTCAAGGGTGATGCCCCCTTGCATTTCATGTCCCCCTTGATGTGATCCATCCACCATGTCTTGGGTCTGCCATGGGGCCAGCAGCCATCATGGTCCAGACATATGGCCATAAGTTGAGGACTCCTTATATTTAATAAAACAGTAAAAACTTCTAGGAAATATAGCCGAAATACAACTTATCAAGTAACAGTAAAGCCAGTTTCCCTGTAGTTAAAATTAGTGTAATGGGGCCTCTTTTCTTCAGCTGCTGATCATCGCTTAGGATTAGGTAGACATCCAAGATACCCTGATGTTTCCAAGAATTCACGGCTAGGTGCCATCTTCTGCATAAAATTAGTGTTCCTGGTTAAAGGGTCATTGGCACACTAGACTTTTAGGGGTTTTCAATGCTTTAATAGGAATGCATAGGCAACCGCCACCTCAGTGTTGCATATTTGGTATAGAGTTGATTTACCAACACAATTAAGAACAAACCTAAAAGAAGTGGGCAAAAGGCATAATAGTCAGAAGGGGGAAAAGAAAAAGCACACAAACCAGAAGCAACCAATTATACACTTTAATAATTTAGTAGGCTTTTCACTAATTGGCTGGAAAGTAAATACTATTTGCATAAATGCCTTGTGCCATTATTTATCCATTGCAGAAATAGAGGTTTAATTAAGACAAAAGCCTATGGACTTTTAAGCAATTAATTAAATATATTGCAGTGCTGAACTAGTGAGGTGCTGAAATCTAATGTCCCTTAAGGGCACAAGTAGATTTATGCTGCAATATGGAACAGCAGTTATTACTAGACATTTTAGTTTCTTGGTGAAAAAATATGGGCACTTATTACGGAGGAAATAATCTCAAAACCATTGGTATTTTACATTACAGGAGCCAGGATTCTGTGCTGAGAGCCATGTTTTCAGATTAATAATATTATTCTAAATAAACCATTTCTATCTGCATGTCAGTTCTGGGCATTTCAGAAGACCCTTGAATTTGTGGTCAACATGGTGTTAAACAGGGAGCTGCATTTATTGCTAAGTGGTAATATCACTATTCAGGCTTCTCCGAAAAGGCAGAATGATTAAAAGCTGTGAAAAGAACAAAAAACTCATTTCAATAACTCTGCCTCTAGAACAGTGAGATCTTTGGCATGTTTGCAAATGTATCTTCACAATCAGGAAGGCTGCTGGTCTAATGTTAGAGCTATTTTCATGTCTCACTTGTAATTGTTTTCTGAAACAGCTGAAACTACCCAGATTTCACTTAATAGCAGTAAATACATTTTTGTTGCCTCTGCTATGTGGAATTCCATCCAAAGTAAATTTAGATAGAAAGCAATTGAGGAAAATGTTATCTTAACCACATGTTGGTTCAAGTAACGTAATGAAAATAAGCAGTGGCAACCTCTTCTAATATATATTTCTTTAATCTTGGTACCTCTAAAATGTTGATTATGATCCATGTACATTTTTAAACAATTACTTTTAGGAGACCAAAGGACCAAAAGCATTCTGCAACCCAGTTTTCTTCGGTGCAATGGATGCATCTTGCAGTTGTAGCATGTGGCGACCGGCTGCTAGAAACTCTCAACATGCTGAAATCAGCAGTTCTCTTTAGCAACAAGAAGCTCAAATTTCATATTTTTGCTGAGGATTCCCTGAAGCCAGAGTTTGAGAAGAAAGTGAGTATCTTTCAGTGATTTCTTTGTTTAAAAACAACTGCTAAGCCTCAGATTTGTTTAAAAGGCTACAGATTCACTTAGAAAGCTCTGTCAGCCGTGAGTTAATGGTGCCTGAACTTCTGCTCCTAAGCTCTCCATAAAGCTCAGCCTTAGTTAGTACATGGCTTGAAGATGTTTGAATAGCATTTCTGCTCCCATAATACTGCTCCCATAGTATTACCCTCCCTGTAATACTAATTCCTTCTTTCCTTCTTGTGCTTTGCAGTTAGAGGAATGGCCTACCTCTTTCTCAATGAAGTTTGAATACAATGTTTACCCAATCTCCTTTTCAGTTGGAAACACTGAAGAGTGGAGAAAATTATTCAAGCCATGTGCTGCCCAACGCCTCTTTCTTCCGGTAAGGTACTCAAAATGTCATACGTGAAGCTCAAAAGACATAAGAGGCTTTGTTGGCCTTAAAGTTAGAAACTTTAATGCAAAGTGGCATTTATGGTCCTTTTGTCTGCAGTTCCTTTATTGCCCCATGGTATCTTTTCAGAGCAAGGAAATCAAGATCATAGTTCTATATGTTTGTTCAACTGAATACAGTACAGTAACAAATTAAAGAGATGTAACATTTAATTTGTCTCAGCCAACAAGAAAAAGACAGGGATTGATTGGTGACGGTTTCGTGCTTCATTGGTTTTATTTCAAGATTTGTATTATGAGGATAGGTCAGAAGGGCATCAAGTAGATGAAAATATCATTTACTGACTTTGTGGCTGATTGCAGTCTAAATTGAACTGCCCGATTTTCTTTAGACAACCATTCTGATCCAATGTTCCCTGAATATGGGTCCCCAATATCCATCATTCTCATGCCTTCTCGGAAAGATGGAACTTATGAACTAACACATATTGGGATTATTGGGAATTTCATTATATCTGTTCCACTCCCACAGTATAGTTATGAAACCTTGTAACCAAGATACATGACTGATGGAGAGCCAGGGACAGCAATAGAATGCACTGGAAAAGAAACTGATGGGATGTGGACAGTACATGTTTATTGAGCTGGTTCTGATTCTGATTCAAATTACCTAAGATTAATTATGGCTGGAAGATTGTACTGTAAGTAGCACCCAATTAGAGAAAGGCCTTGGTAATAGCTGGGATTGTGGGAAGGAGAAATTTAATTTACCATACTGCTCCATGGCTTCATGTCTGAAGAAAATCCATTCTCTGCAGATGCTGCTGCTTCTTGGGCAAATTCTCCAGAGATGGTAGCAGGAGGAGATTAATTCACCTCTGTGCTTTCTGCTATTCTGGTAATTACCAACTCCATCCATTGAAACTATGAACATTGATAATCAATGAAGCACATAGTGTCTTCTTTGGGGCATTCTTTGGCTTTTTCAATTATCCAATGTGCATCAGCAATAATGACTTATATTTCTCGGCCTTTTCTAAACACAGCTTGAACATCTGGTGTCTCTTTTTTCCATACAGAGCTCTAATCTGCATTGGATGATCCCAAGTATTATTTTGCTAGCGTGTGAGATTAAGGATATTGTATGATAGTTTAGTTGCACACTCTGCTAAGTCTTTCTCTCTCTCTCTCATATTGGAATGTAGATTGACCTCTTTCAGTCTCTCCATCACTGTGTCATTCTCCAAATTTGCTGGCGTAGCTTGCTTAGAAACTTCACTGATTCTTGTTCTGCTACTTGTCATATTTCAGTGGGTATTTCCATCAATTCCTGTAGCCTTGGCGCAGATTTAATTTTATCTTCTGCACTAGAGGTTCTCATAAGTAGGAAATATTATCTAAGTTACAGTTGTATAGTATTTCAGTGTATTCCTTCCATTTTGGTTTGTTCTTCTTTGAATCAATCATTACCTGTCAGTTGGCCTCCTGTAGCATATCATTTCCAAGGTTGGAACTTGCTTCTAGACTCACAGATTTTTTAAATATATTTTCCTTGCTTTTCCATGTCTGCTTCCACCTTCAATGTGTTTACTGATGTTGTTGCAATATTGCTTCTTGTCTCTTCTAACAACTCTCTGAAACCCCTTGTTGAGATTCTGAGATGATTATCTTGGCTTTGGCTTCTCTTGGTAATTTCTATGCTTTGTTCTGACATTAAGTTTGCTTTGTTTCCCAATTTTAGGCAATCCTTTTCCATATTCATCTTCTTTAAGTCCACTCCATACCCCTCTGATAAATTTGTCAGTATTTTTACTTTAAAAAAGAAAAAAAGAACATAGACCAAACCTACTTTTATAGACATGTGCATTCTGTGACAAGTTTACTCATCCTACCTAACTTTTCGGATATAATACTTGGTGAAATTGCACCAGCTCTTCCTAGGTAGTATCTTGAGAGAGTAATAGAAGTGTTTATACCAGTGGTAGTGAACCTGGTCCCTACCGCCCACTAGTGGGCGTTCCAGCTTTCATGGTGGGCGGTAGGGGTTTTTTCCCTACATTATAAATCACCATTACTGTGGAACTGGTGGGCGGTTAGAGAAAATTTTACTACTAACAGAGATACAAAAGTGGGCAGTAGGTATAAAAAGGTTGACTACCCCTGGTTTATACAATAAGGTTAGAAAGTGACAACTGCCATTCTCAGCAGGAGATATTTTTTCAAAGAACTGTAGCATCCAGTTGCTGCTTGAATTTTTTTGGTCATTATACTATTTAGGGGCTTGCCACTTTTTATTTCAGTGTACTGCTCCTTTTGAGTTAATAAGACTCACGGTTCATGCTGTCACCCCTGTATAGACTTTAATAAAGTGCTGTTCATATTCTGACACAGCTAATATGTTAAGTTTCTTGCTGACTCGCAACACAATCTGCTTTTTGTTTTGGAACTCTTCAGCACTTCTGCTTATTTATTAGTGGCATTTTTACAATGTACTTTAGCCAAAAAGGCTGCTAGAGTGACTAATGTATAATCACTAATACAAGACTCCCATCTCTCATTTTAACTTCTTTGCAATATGAAATAAAAAGGAAAGGAATGGGAGAGAAACAAAATTAATGTATTTTTCATGTTATAGGGTAGGCAAACTTTGGTGACTAAATTTCAGAGAAAAGGGGGGAGGGGGCTTTTGATTTGGATTTTGCCCTAGGTTTTTAAAGCAAAATAGGAATCTTAAACTCAATGGAGGCTTCACATACTTTCTGGAAAGAATAGAAAAAACCCTCAGTACAGGTGGTCCTCAACTTACAACAGTTCAATTAGTGACCTTTCAAAGTTACAACGGCACTGAAAAAAAGTGACTACTGTTGCAGCATTCCCATGGTCATGTGATCAAAATGCTGGCGCTGGACAACTGACTCACATTTATGATGGTTGCAGTGTCCCGAGGTCAGGTAATCACTTTTTGTGACCTTCTGACAAATAAAGTCATTGGGGAAACCAGATTCACTTAACAAACTGTGTAACTCAGGGGTCCCCAACCACCGGTCCGTGGACCGGTCCCGGTCCGCGGAACAACTCCTACCGGGCCGCTGGCTTGCTGGGCGCCGCACTTTTTCATCAAAAAAAGATGGCGGCGCCCAGCTGATGCCGGTACCGGGCCGCGGCGCCCAGCTGATGCCGGTACCGGGCCGCGGCGCCCAGCTGATGCCGGTACCGGGCCGTGGCGTCAAAAAGGTTGGGGACCACTGGTGTAACTAACTTAACAACTGCAATGATTCACTTAATAACTATGGCAAGAAAGGTCGCAAAATGGGGCAAAACTCACTTAATGTTTTATTTAACAACAAAAATTTTGGGCTCAGTTATGATTGTAAGTTGAGGACTATCTATAGATGACAAATTAAACCTACCGAATACTTACATTAAAGACATAAAAGGGTTACTTTATTAAGTGAAAGGAATCTAAAGAAGTCCTAGAATTAATATCTTGTAATTATCAATTAATCACTGTATGCACACCAATGAAAGATACACCCCAAAATAATCATTTGGTTCAGTTTACTTTGATTATTTAACCTGTCATTTTTGGTAATAAAAATATGCTCACATAACTACCCAAGAAAGGAAATGTATTTTAAAAATGGGATGTTGAGACTTCAAGGCTTAAGAAAATGATGTTTGTTTGTTTGCTTGTTTGTTCAGTTTCAATGGCTGCCTATCTCTGTCTGACTCTGAGAGGCTTACAATTCAGTTGATTCAGACTTAGCTTTTAAGAGTTTTCTTTATTGCCTGTATTCCATGTCTCTCTGTCAAGGGAGATGGGCGGTTTCTAAATTAGGTAACTAAAACAGATAAATAAAATGTCTTTTTAAAAACATGACAGCTAAGCTTTTACATCTGAATACGTTCCATTGTTATTGCTATCCTAAAGATATACCTTGTTTTATGTGTTATATTTTAGCTTTTACCCATGTTTCCAAAAGAAAAAAAGAAATGAAACATAGATGGGGTTCTATCTCCAACCTTCTATTTGCAAATTAGTCTAGCAATATTTAGGAGGTTTTTCCAAACATAGATTTCAATGGTGGAACTTCACTGTGGTGGTCCATTCATGGTATAGTGCCTGCAAATATAATCAGAGAGTTGTTTGGGAATGAAGACGATCAAAAGGAGTTTTTTGTAAAATTAGAGGGGAGATAAACTAGGGAAGAGGCACTAATGCAAAGCCTCAAATCTACTCTGCAGTGTTGTATAAAATTATTGAAATTAGGGATAGATTTATAAAGAACATGTTGGCCACAAGAGGGCATATGGCAAACAAGAATTAACAACTTGAAAGAATTGTCATTCATTCGATATACTGTTATCAATATAGTGAGCCAGTGTCTTCCATGACAATTCTTTCCAGCAGTTCAAGCTGGCCAAGAGCCACAGTTCA